ATTATACAAATGTAGATGAACTGAAATCATCCCATGTATACAATCTGAGCACAGTGCAATAAAACTTAAAATAATGACAAAGGATATCACAAAATCTGCATTATTGTATGGAAATTAAGCAACATTATCTTGAACAATCAATGAGTTACAGAAGAAATTAAAGTTGAAATTGAACAGTACATACAATTAAACGATACTACCATTGCAACATACGGAACTTTAAGGGATGCAATGAAAACAGTCATAGCAAACAGATTTATAGCGATGAACTCACACATCAGAAAAATAGAATGAGCTGAAATAAACAGACTAATGTTAAACTGCAAGCTTCTAACAAAAGAGCACAAATTAAGCCCCAGCACCTATAAGGGCGTAAATTTTAAAGAAAAGACATGAAATTAAAGCAATAAAGACGAAGAATCAGTAGAGAACCACTGATTCAAAAAATTGTCTTTGAAATAAATTAAATTGTGGAGCCATTAGCCACTCTCATCAAAAAGAGGATAGAAGAATCACAAATTCAACGAGATAAGAATGAAAATTGAAATCACAATGGATCACACAGAAATTAAGGAAATCATCTATACCTACTATGAGGATCGATATTCCAATAAGATGGAAAACACAAGAGAAATGGCAGATTCCTATACACAATCAAACTGCCAAAACTAAGTCAAGAAGTTATAAGAATTCTTAGTAAATGAATACTACCTGATGATATTGACAATAAATTAAAAACTACCAACAAAGAAAATTCCAGGCCCAAATTAATTCACTGTTGAATGTTGCACAAAATTTAGTAATGATGCAATGTTTTTAATGCTGAAAATCATTAAAGTAATTGAAAGGAAAGCGAAATCATTCCTGGAATCAGATATTTCCCTGGTTCCAAAATCAGGGAATAATGCAACTGAAAAAGAAAACTGCAGATCAACCTCCCCAGTAAATACGGATGCAAAAGGCCGTAATAACATACAATGATTTTTCCATTTATTTTTTATTCATTTTTAATCTGTGAGAATTGACTTAAACTATTCAAAAGTTGTATAGTATTATAGCCTTTACCGAGTGGTAACTGCAATATTATATTGATTGTTTTGTTTTTCCTTTTTATGTTTTTCTATTTCTAGTAATTTAATGTTCAACACATTTTGCAGTCATGCTTTAACAATACATGGAGAAATTTTACTCATATTTAAAATTTTTTGCAATAGTAATGTGGTATTGTTAGTGGGATATTTCATATTCTCCAAATGCTTGTCACAGAAAATTATGTTGCATCTGCAATTATAAAATATTTTAAGTAATAAAAGTTCTTCACTTTTCAAAGTACAAACTCTAGAAGGTTGATGTCTCAAAGACAATAATGACAAAAGCAACAGACAATCTACATTTAAAACTTAGACCATAGTAAAATGTCTCTTACTTATGGTTTTCAATAGTTTAAAGCTGTGGAAGGCATAACAGACTAGAGGATAACATTAAAGATATATCATAGCATTTCTTGCTTATTTCCTGATGACATTACATAGTTTGAAAAGGGGAAATAAAAGTGGGGTTGGTATTATATTTAATCAGAAGAATGGGTACAGAAAAGTCGTTAATGAACTTGTGTTAAAATAAATGATACGATGTGCGGTAGTGAAAAATTTTTTATGCTCATAATAAGTGTTGTTAATTTGAGAAGTTCATAAAACTGAGAAGATTAGGATCTAGCAGAGACATCTATCTACAAAGAAGCATTTTGGGAATCTTTTTTGCTGGCATGATAATAATGCTGTAGAACTTCATTTTACATTGCTAGTCCAAGCCACAACTATATTTTCCCATTCTTCTGCAAGTTTCTTAATGTATTACATTTACTGCTAATTACCCCAGCCTCATTCCTGTAGGATATGAACCTCCCAGTAAGATCAATTCCATAGTATCTTCTTTGCATAAATTATGTATAAACTGTGGTCACTACCATACAAATATGTGCTACTTTTTCTCAGTCACACTCCTGTCAAATTAAAATATTTCTTGCAGCAATATAAATTTCCATAGTTGTTTTTTGTTGGAAACTAGGGACACTATAGATTCCAAATGCTATTTATTAATTAATATATACAATGTTCATTGTTCAGCTTGGCTTTCCCCATATGTGCCCGACTTAGATATCCAATTAACATTGCCCATGATGTATTCTTCTCCAGTCATGCTTTATTCATTAAACTGTTACGTGAATTGTTGTTACTTTCCCACCATATTCTTATTCTTTATGAATTATTGTGTTACCTGCTATTACTAATATTACTCATTATTTTTCTCCTCTGCGTAGTCACAGAGTAATATATATATCACAATCACTAACTGTTTTCTATTATTTATAAAATATTGCTTTTATCACTTACCTACTAAAAGATAATAGGCAGGTTTATATTAATTATTTTAGATTACTAAAGTATTGGTTTGACTTTAGAGAAGACAGAGGAATCTCAATGAAAAAACTAGGATGAAATCAAGAGAGAAAACCACAGTTCTCTTGTAGTCAAAATAAATAGAATTTTGTCTACTAAGTTTTACACATATGCCTGGATCATATGGACATCACTAGAATTCAGATTTTTTGTCTAAATTTTAATAAAAAATTCAATAAACTCACCTAAATATAGAAGAACTTGACTGATACATTTATGGAAGAGTTTCTTTGCTAAATTTAGTGAAATCAATTAAGGTTCTGGCTTAATATTTTGTTGAGAGTAATAAATCTGTCTAACAGCATCCATGGTATACTTCATCAACTATTTGATGTTACATTTTTTTCATCCTGCTGAGAAAATTCACAAGTGACAAGCATGAGATTACACCTAAAACCTAAATCCTGGCACCAAGCTTTGTTATAAATAATGACAAGGAGGCCTGAGGACTTGGAAGGTCAAAACTGTCTTTAAGGTGCTGCCTTGAGGAGACAATTTAAGCAGTTAGACATACAGCAGTCCCCATGTGACATCTGTCTTGTTTGTTATTTTTTAAAGCCCTGGAGAATCTATGTGATCAGCATTTCTCAATCTTCCCAATTACGGCATTTTAATCTCAAATATGCAGAACATAGCTATGAAGAAGAAAAACATAACATATTAAAAAATAGTGCAGGTATTGATACCTTAGCTCATTCTTATTTTGTTTTTTTTTTTTCCTCTCTTTTTGAAGGTACATTTATTTTACTATGTTTCAGATGTTTTCCTGACTGAACAATGAATTTCATTACACTTCCTTTTGTTAATTTGGGATGTGTTGTAGAGTTTGTTTTCCATTTTAACGACTGGTTTTCTTTCAGAAAAGCAATGTGTACTTGCCTTTCAAATATGGCTAAGTGATCTCCAAATGTCTGTATGTATTACAGCAACAAGAAAATAGAATTATATGTTTGTGTTGAAATTCTTGTGAAAAATGTCATGTATGGAACAAATTTCATGGTCATTAAATTTGGTAACTCAACTCATTATATCTTTAAAAATGCACGTAATAAAAACAGTGTCATGATGAAAGAGTAGCACTGATACTACTACTTTTCTAAATACTGGGTATCAACATGAATGCACCCAAAGAATTTTCTACAAGGAATATAAAAATATGAGGAAAAAGTATCTTCAAAAAATGGTGTTGTGAAACACTCCTAAAACTATTGGTTGAACCAAAAGACATGCATGTATCCATGCACATACAAGGGAACATTCACTTAGATTTATTAAAACTTTCTACCACAATTTCTTCTGTCTCTGTGTCTCTTTTATGCTGTCTGCAATGGAACTTATGAATCAGTCAATTTTGATTCAGATACATAGGGTGCACTGGGCAATAGAATGTTAACCATGATATACAAATAGGCTTAAGCTAGCTTTTGATTTTGTATTACTTGTGATTAAGCCCTTTTTATCAAAAATATTTTATCTGATTTACTGATTGAAAAAGGACATAGGCACAGATGGCAAAGCCATCAAACCACTTTTGAACTACAGAATAGAGATGAGTTTACCCGTCAAAGAAGGCAAAATAAGTGTAATATTCAAGACACTCCGACTGATTATCAATGGGGCTACGCATCCAATAAGTCAAAAATAAAAACATATTATCTAGGGTTATGAAATGCTAAAATTTCACAACATTTTGTTATTCATTAATTTATAACTTAATAGAATCCAATGAAATAAATGAGAAGTTTAAAATCTGTATTATCGGTTGTTTTTTACTTTTTTATTTTTAATGCCTCACATACAATGACCAAAAACAATTTATGCCAAAACATTACTGAATAGAATAATAATATGGATTTCATGGAACAAAGATATACTTTAAATACTTAGAGTAAACCAATGTTCCCTATGCAAGAGAATTTTTCTTTTAAATATGTCTGAATTTTTGTTTGTTTTTATGTTTTGTTTTATTTTGTTTTGGTACCAGACATCTAACTCACAACCTGATACTTACCAGGCAAGTCCTTGATCTGCTGAGCTAAGTTCATGGCTTCTGTCTGACTTTTGACCAGCTATCAGGATACTGTAATGCATTTGACAAATGACCATTGTGATGTGGTTTAAGAACAAATTAGAGGGCTAAAGATTTAGCTCAGCAGCACACGCACCTGGCTGGCAAAGGTGAGGTGATGAGTTCAATCCCTAGTACCAAAAAGAAAAAGAAACAATCAAACAAACAAAAATGGACTATAAGCCCATATATCTGTTAAGACAAAAAGAAGAAAGGTTTATGTTAGCATTCAAATGATAACATGTGCTAAATCTTTGATTCTGTTACGAGAAACTTTGGTTTTAGAAATTTAAATGATCAGAGATGAAACTATGTTATTTCCTTTTGTTTTGGAGTTAGAACTGATGTGCTAAATTTCAAATTGAATCACTTTTGAATAATCAACTGACTAAAAATTACATCAAACGTATACAATGAAGTTCTTGAAAACTATGGCAATTTTGCACAATTTTTCTTGAAAATACAAACAAATCTTACAGACCTTGTAAGATTTGACATAGTAAATTGGACCTGACTAATTTTCTGATTGTCTCTTTGACCTCCTTGTTTCTGAGGCTGTAGATCATGAGGTTCACCATGGGGATGAGCACTGTGTAGAAGACAGAGGCCACTCTGACCAGGAGCCATGAGGTGCTGGGGGTGGGAGCACAGTAGAGGAACAGGATGGTCCCATGGAAGATGCTGATTGCCATCAGGTGGGAGGCACAGGTGGAGAAGGTTTTACTGCGACCCCCAGGCGAAGGCAATTTTGCAATTGTGATGAAAATGAAAGCATAGGAAGTGAGAATGATCACCAGGCTGCTGATTTCATTGAATGTCGCAGTAAAGAAAATGAGCTGCTGGTTAATGTAGGTGTCAGAGCAGGACAGGGCAGCAATGGCAGCATGCTCACACACAAAGTTATTCATGATGTTATTTCCCCGGAAGCACAATTTCAGTAAGAAATTAATAAGTGTCAGGGAGCATATTAGCCCCCAAGAGTAGGATGCACCCACTAACAAGGAACACAGCTTCGGAGACATCACAACAGTGTAGAGGAGAGGCTGGAAAACTGCCACAAATCGGTCATAAGCCATCACAGTGAACACGAATGTTTCTGTCACTACGAATATGCAAGCTAAAAAGAACTGTGTGATGCATCCTGTGAAGGAGATGGTTCTGTCTGCCACGATCAGGTTTTCTAAGAGCTTCGGGGTCACTAGACTGGAGTAACAGAAATCCACAAAGGACAAGTGACTGAGGAAGAAGTACATGGGGGTATGGAGTCTTGGGTCGATCCTGATTATGAGGATCATTCCTAGGTTCCCCAACATGGTGATAGTGTAGATGGCCAGGAATACCAGGAACAGGGGCACCTGGAGATCGGGGTACTCAGAGAAGCCCAGGAGGATGAAGGTGACTGCAGCAGTCTGATTGTTTTGGAACCTGGAAGAAAAAAAAGAATAAAGTATGTTCACAAAAGGTAGTGAATCTATTTAAAGAAAATATAGTAAAATTAGAAGAACATTTGGATCCTTAGTGTTTATCTATAAACTAAGGCACGAAAAATGATTTCAACAGGTGCATCACTTCCCAAGTAAGCATTTATCAATGTGACAACTACAAAGGGAATATCAGATACATCTGAAGAGAGCAATCAAAGAAGGAAGCTCAAAGAACAAGAAAATGTATTTGACCATAGTTTAACTCAAATAATCAGATTGTTGTTGCTGCAGCAAAACTGAGTCCAGGAATGGAAAGACACCTGAGGATATTAAGAGGCAGAGAAAAACTTTATTTTATGCCAGTGGTTCTCGATGGAACAATTTCTAGCAAATTCAGTCTATGAGTGCCTGCGATCCAGTGCTTTTTTATGAGACAGAATCAGGAGTTACAAAGGCAGGACAAATCAGCCTGGAAGTTCCTCTGATTAGCTAGCAGTCCTCAATTTCAAGGATAGATTAATGTTCAGGAATGTTGTTCCATACAAACAGGCATGTTTGGTTACGCTCTCATACTCACAGGGGTCAAGAAAGTAATTACAAAACTATGGATCAGTTTTAGAGCTAGGGAGCTTAAAAATAACAAAGCTTTTTAAAAGAACCGATTTACCTAGTACACTTTTTCCTTTTCAGTGTCATTCCAGAGAACTGAATTCATAGAAAGGGCTGGTCTAGATTTCACATCAATCTCAGTGTAGTGAAAATGTTTTCTTGGAGGGAGTATTCACCCTGAGTCCACGAAGTTTTCCCTACCTCATCTGTTTAACTCTGAGAACTTAGAAGTTATAAACAAAAGTACTGAAGATGTAAAAGTGTCAAATTACTTTTGGTTTTTTGCTGTCTTTTTCCCCAAGGCTATGAATTTCAATTTTCAGTGTGCTTCACATGTTGTTATACACCTCTTTCCATCTTTTTAAGGTCTTTCCTATAGAAAAAGAATTCTTAGTTGCTGAAAAGTATAAATCATTTTATCTGTTCTTGGTGTACTATAGTTTAAATACCCAGAATAACTTAAATTGAGACAGACACCATTACAGTACATTCTGACTGCATTTCCGATGCTGGAGTATTTCTATCACATCATCTTCACATATCCATTTTAGTCCACTTCCCAGTTTCCAAAAATGAGACACAGTTTCCTGAGGAATTACAATAGTTATTTTTATTTCTGCCCTGAATTGTTTTAAAAACCCACATAGATAGTTCTTCCAGTGAACTTTTCTTCCAATTTCTTTATTTCATCAAATAATCTGATCTCCACTTAACTTTATTCTCTTTACCCTGGCAATATCATAAATGATGTCATTATATATATCTGATAATCTTAAAAATACCATTTTCATATAATGTCTGCAACATAATATGCACTGTACTTATTTTTTTATCATTTATGATGTTGTCATTTTCTGTGTAGCAGTAAACTAAAATCAACAAGGACACATATATACAACTAGGACACAGAGATTCAGTAGCACACATTGGGTAAGAGAACATGTGCATATGTAAGTGAATGTATTCTAGGCCATAATGAATGTGCATGGAATAAAAGCCAGTACAAAAATAAATTCTTAAAATTCACTATTCAATCAGATTTGCACTGATGCAGAGACACATCTTGACTCTTATAAACATGTAACTGTCATGAACACTTAAAAGGAAAAGATCATCCTCATTTACTGTAAAGAAAGAACAGGTACAAAAACAGGATATGGTGCACTATTTTTCTATGACCTAGCGTGTCCAAAGTTCCATGTCCCATGGACACTTATCATTATTTCATGCAGTTATTCTCAGAACCACATAATGATGGCTAAATTGAACCTCCAGTGACACAGGGCATTGAAGAAGTACTGTTCCACCAAATGCAGTCAAAAAATATATGCTAGTGAACAGTGAATATATGATAGTGTTCACTGGGTTTTTATTACTTTATATCCAAGACCACATACATCACTTGTGTTTCTTGCAGATGACGATATTATTCACATGTTTCTGCAACTTTTCTTCTTCAATTGCAACTTTAGATTCCTTTGATTTCATAACTGCAATTTGATCTCCTCCTACGCCTTTATTTATTATATTTTAAAAAAACATAACAAAAAATATACTGAGTCTAAATTCCCAGAATAACATACTATTGTACTTTTTAGAACTTTGTACTTTTCTTTAGATTTACCTAACACATTTTGAGAAGCCTGAGGTGCAATGGAAGTCATTGATATCAAAGGCAAATAAGTTTTCTGATACATGTTTAGCCATTTTTTTACCCTTGCCTTTTTTTTCTATATGTGTAGCTTTTCATGTATGTCCTACCTTCTATTTTCATATTTATAGCATTTGGACTAAAATTTTCAATCTACCACTTAGTCCACTGAAGGGTCACACTTGGACACCTGACTAAAGGTCCAAAAAATCTTCCTTACCTGCTTTCCTTCTTTCTTTCCTTCCTTCCTTTCTTTCTTTCTTCCTTCCTTCCTTACTTCTTTCCTTCCTTCCTTCTTTCCTTCCTCAGTAGGTGTCCTCTATGTATGTAATATCCATTTTAGAAACCAAGCCACAGCAAGGTATAAGCCTTGTTCTGTTTACTCTCTTGAGAGTTCACTGAACACGCAGTGCCTAAAATTGCAAAAGACTCAGTAAAACATATAACCCTTGAAGTATATTAAAATTCAAGTGCGTGTGCCTCAAAAAGAAGAAGGCTGTGATCAAGAAAGCAGAAAATATTTTCTGGCGATACAGCCAGTTAATAGTAAACCTTTTAAAAGACAACGAAACAAAAACTTTTACCTTGCAGAATTACCTGTTTATCATGGCAGTGAGATTTGCAAAACCTATGGAAAGATTGTGGGATGGAATTGTACACTCATTAAAAATCCACAACTCACCTCAGTGCAGAATGCTTTGACTCCTCCATTTGTTGAAGTTTCCTTACATCATGAATGGACTCCAGGAAATCTCCTGCAGCGAATTCAAACTTAAATTATAAGAGCAAATCAGAATAAAGTGGCAGGAATCTACTGCATTTTCAATATTTCAGTAAGCCAGTAAGATAACCCTTTCCCCTAACCTTTTCAAAATCAGCTCTCTGATCATAGAGAAAAGGGAGAATTAAAAGTGGTCTCCTAGCACCGAAGCATGGCACACATGTATGTCACCAAGACCTTAGGGATATTAACCCTGGAGAATGTCATTGTTGGGCTTCTTGGGAGCCCACAAATTGATCAGTTACATTAAACAAAGCTCCCATGTGATATTTTTTTCACTGTAATTTATAAAATTGGGGAAAATTTTCATATCCAACTTTAATTCTATGACCTTATTCTAGATCTACTTATCAGACTTAATATATTTTGACTTTAAATACCTATGAGATAAAAAGGATATAAAATAAAAACTACTGAGTAACAATTTAGACATTACTACTCAATCTTTATTGCACTTCTTGGTTTTCCACTCTCCTATCAGGGCATGTATAGATCAGTATATGTATGAATGTAATGCTTATTCAAAAAATTATATAATGGAATATTTATTCTCTCTAAACAGTGTACTTAAGCATCTTCTTATCCATTAAATATTTGTTTAACATCTGTAAAAAACTGCTTGGTTTTCTCTTAGTAAGAATTGTAGCCTTATTTTCCTTGATATGCTATGTATTTCAGTGGACTCAAGTTTCATTAAGAACATAAACATATGTTCGAAAACTTCTTGAAATATATTCTTGAAATATATTCAACAGAAATTCAAATGATATTGAATACTACAGCATGTGGAATTTGTTTCTGGAATGCAAGTATAGTTCACCATAAAAAATAAATCGATCACTCAGTATTGGAAGGGGCAGGAGAATCACTGTGCCTTCAAGTGTGTGCTACATAGTGAATTCAAGCCCACTTTGAACTATAAATTGACAGTTTGTCTATAAAAAACGATCAATATACTATGACATAAAATTTAATGTAACTGTTAACAGAATAAAGCAAAACTTACATGACCTTCTCAATTGGTGCAGAATGAAAATTTGACAAAAGCTAGCATACTTTCATGAAAATAAAAACTTAAATGTATATGAAATTTTCTTTAAACAATAAAAGTCATCTATAAAAAATCTTACATCGAACCTCATATTCAATAACCAATACGATGTTTTCCTCCAAAGATCATGAACCAGGCAAGGATACTTGCATTCAATTTCCACTCAGGATAGTGTGGATGATTTAGCCTCAGCAAATATTTAGGCAAGAAAAAACTGAATATATTCGAATTAAAGAAAAAAGGTAATTTATTTTTTCACGAATGGTATAAACTTATATAAAAGACACTGAACATTTCAAACACATGTGACTGTGCCCACACACACAAGCTCACACATACAGACACACACGTCTCCAAACTCACACAACTAATTAACTAGTTCAAGGAGAATTCAAGGATTCAAATTCTATGTGAAAGCAGTAGCAGCAAAATTATTAGGAATAAACAGGTACTGACATGGTACATGAAAAACTACAAGTTGCTGCTTACAGATACTAAAATGGACATATCATACAAAGACATATCATGTTCATGGAAGACTGCATATTTTCCCAGCAGTGTAATTTGCAATGAACAAAGAGAGGAAATAACACAATTGTGCATCTAGAGATGGGTGAACTTCAGCATGGCCAGATCACTGCGACATGAGCTTTAGTGGAGCAAGTGGAACACAGATACTGTATACCAGGTAAAGTTTAGATCAGCTTTGTGGACACCAAACATAGATCAGCTTACTAGAATCAGGGTGGGGTGACAAATGGCACATTCACATTTTGGAAGGTGCCACTTGGAAATGCTTCAAGTTTGGGACTTTGAAAATGTTTTTAAGATTGCAATTATGGCTGCATAATAATGTGAATGTGTATTTATTTATCTATTTACTTATTGTTCGTATCTACTCGAGGGTGGAAATGTTGAATTTTATGAACATTTTAGAATTGCAGTTTTAAGTTAACAGAACATTAACTTCAATATTTAGGAAAGTTATAAAAATAAACAATTTTCAACACACTTGGGATGTGTAGTAAGTCCAAATTATGAAATATTCTCAGAATTATGATCACTAAGAGAATGAAAATAAAATGTTTAATGATATACCACTGCTTAACAGTCATAAATGATTTTTCTTTTTTTTTTTTTTTTTTTTTTATCGGTACCAGAGATCGAACACACGACTGCCTGCTTGCAAGGCAGGCGCTTATGCCCGCTGAGCTAAATCCCCAGCCCCTAGTCATAAATGATTAAAAATTTTAAATCTAACAATAGGAATTTCTGACAAAAATATGAAATAATTTTAACTTATGCACAAAGTTCAAAATAATTACACAATATATGATTGTTAAACTCATTTAAGTCCTAGAAATATATGCATAGCTTTGGCATCTTTTTCTTACTTTAAAAAATGAATGTTAAGCTCTGTATTCCTGCAATTAGTGAGAGTTTACAGTGCTTATATTATGTGGAGTGACTCTTGGTGGCTTCTTTTTACCTGCTGTCAAAAGAGAAATGAAATCAGCAGAATGATAATTATAGGAATATAGAAATATAGAGATATATGTACGCCCAAACTACATGCATATTTATACAGATACATAAGTCACACTCTGTATATATCTTATATACTAAACTTTGCAAAATGGTGTATTTACAAGTCATCGACAAGGTGTCATATTTTTAATTCTTCAATAATTAAAATATATTAAGGACCTGAAAAACATTGCAAAGAAATAAATTAAAATTTTAATGTTTTAATTAATTGCCTGGTAATATATATTTTATTATATTAGAAATCAACCAATACAACCCAGATATGTTTAATCTAGTTTTTTTCCTGTTTCAAATGAAAATATAAATGGTTTGTTTTCAAAGCACATCTTTGCTTGACACAATGAAAACTAAATCTTGATTCTGTGTTCAAAAAATATTCCTCTAAGTATACTGCAATTTTTGTAGCTAAATAACAAGGTGGCTAGAAGAATTTGTTTTTATATAATCAGTATTTTGAAATCAATCTTCAAACTACTAGCTAATAGCACACATTTTTTTTGGCTTCTAAATGGTAAAAGTAGAATATCCACTAGATGGCAGAGTGATACCATAATTTAAATGAAGAATATTAAAATCACTATTTTAGAAAGTAACAAAAAATGAAACTCTCATTTATATTAATTACATAATTAATTATACATTCCATACCATTTTACTTTGTGGATAATAGATCAAATATTGAAAGATGTAAAATGACCAGTTTTGAATACTTTTGTGTTAATTTTTATTTTTGTTTTCTTTACACATTAATTTTGATTATTAGCAATGAACATAATTAGAATCTATGCCACTTTGCATATTTACAATATAGACAAAAAGTGTAATAGATATAAACAATATTAGTTGAAGTTAAAATTCCATGTGAGCATATAAATCTTCTAAAACCAAGGAGTAAACAAAAATACACATAGATGTAATCGTATCCATTTACTTGACATATATGCTGTGGGTCAGGTGTTATAATACCTATACATGTGTATGAAATAAAATTACCATCTGTACAATAAAATTATACAGCACTGAAAGATCACATACTAAATTTATGACTATATTTCATAGAGAATCAAATGCAATTGTATGCTCTATGCATGAAGAACTCATAAATAAAAATTAAGTAGAGTTAAAACTAAAGAATACGTTAGTGATTCCTAATTTATTTCACTACTATTCCTGAAAATACTTAACCAGGTTCATTACTTGTGTGTGCAAAACCTGTTTATGACTTCTTGTGAGATAACTCAAATGATTAATAAGGGTATTTATTTATTTATTTATTTGTTGATTAGGTTTTTTTTTGTTTTTTTTTTTTAATATGGTCTTGCTATTTGGTCCGAGGTGGCCTTGAACTCATTGTGTAGTCCCTCCTGGCCTTGAAGGCATGCAAACCTTTTGTCTCAGTTACCCACATGTTGGGAATACCTTGTATGCCAACATGCCTGGCAAATTTTCTATTTCAACAGGAAAACATCCATGTGCTCTTTATGTTGAGTGACATACTCCTTGAAAATTAACTGTGACAAATATGTTAATTATGATGTTTAAATCCTGATGCCCTAAGACTATATTGTTAGTTTGAGTTATCACTGCATGAGAGACATTATAGTTTCCCAATGCTGATGAAAACTTGTCTACTTTTTTATAGCTCTGATTTTATTCATATATTTTCAAGTTCTATTATTTAGTACATGGAAGTTTGAAGTTTGCCGGTGAAATTTGAAATTATACTATAAAACATCTGTGTTTTTCCAGTTGGTTAGCAATTATTATTACAGAAATGTTGGCATGCATCATATTATATCATTTTATCACTGTGACAGAAAAGAGGGAGTGTAAAAATAATGAAGCTGAACTTGAGAACAATCACCCAAAAGAATAAAACATGTGGAAACTGAAATATGGTACATTTTCAGAATGTTTAATTAGGAAACGTTGAACAATTTGCTTACATCAGTTTAAATAAATCAATTTATACAAGTAGGTAATGCATTGGATGAGAATAAAATCTAAAATAAATCAATTATCATTATCCTGAAATGTTTCCTAAATATCAAATACATAAATATTTTTTTCACATCTGAGCTGATAATGCTTGAAAAATGGATTTAACATTCTTATTCCTTTGGTTGACTGTGCTATGTAATGCACTGATTACTAATCAAGTAAACTTACAATAATTAAGCACAGGGGATGCCATATATGTACACATAATGATTCCAAATGCATTGAAGATTTCTATATATAACGTTTACAAATAAGACTTATGACAAAACCTTTCTTCTACTACCCACATATAAAGCTTCATGTATTTGTGTTTTTAGTATCTTCATCTTAATATATAGTTTCTGTGTAGTTCTAAAATTATAAATAGAACAAAAGATCTAATTTTTTTCCTGATGAAAGTGTTCATTCTATAGTTCTACTGACCAAATGGAGTTATGTTTGCTAATCAGAGCTGATAGAATGTCTACATTCACACCCACACTCATGCACATGCGCAATTATTCTAGGAATGTGAATATTCATCTCTGGGAACAAAGGTATTTACTAATAATTAATATTTTTTAAATAAATGACCCAAACCCTGCCCTACAGCTTTCCTAAGTAGAAATGAAGTTTTTATTCTCTTCTGGCTCTTGGTACAATTTGTTCCAAGCAACAGGATTATGTCTTCACCATATTTAAATATATCTTACAATAAAGAATAATTCTTCTCATTTCTAGTGATTGTAAGCTGCTCCAGATCATGGAATATAGAAATAATATTACAGAATTTATTCTTTTAGCACTTTCTCAGAATAAAAAAAGAAATAGAAGCCCTTTGATTTTTTCTGTCTGTACTTTGTTTCATTGCAATTTTAATTGGAAGCCTGGACATCATGGTTTCCATCTCTTGCACCTCACTCATTGAACAGCTCATGTACTTTTTCCTAAGGTTCCTTTCACTGGTGGATATTTGCTACACCTTCATGGTGACCCTCAAGCTAATCCCTGATTTGCTGGACACTAAGAAGTTCATCTCCATCAGTGGCTGCATGACACAGTTCTTCACCATGCATTTCTTTGGGGCATTGAGGTCTTCGTTCTCACAGGGATGGCCTATGACTTCTATGTGGCCATCTGCAAGCCCCGGCACTATGCTGTAACAATGAGAAGGCAGCGTTGTGAGCTCCTGAGGGCGGCTTCCTGTGGGGGTGGATTCCTGCCCTGCTTGGTCAGTTTTTACTGGCCTTCTCCCTATCCTTTTGTGGTCCCATAGAAATCGATCACTACTTTTGTGATGTGTATCCCCTGCTGAAGCAGGCTCATGTGAACACAGCATAATTGTATTTTTGGTCATTGCAAACTCTGGGCTGATGTGCCTGGTGACAGTTGTGGTCTTGCTCATATTGTATGCAGTGATCTTATAAGCTGTCAAGTCTTACTCTGCAGAGACTCACCGCAAAGCTGGTTCCACATGCAGCTCACATCACCATTGTGATCCTCTGTTTTACTCCTATATTGTTTATTTACATTTGACCAGCAACTACTTTTCCAGAGGATAAGGTGTTCACTTTCTTTTATACCATCATTGCCCCCATATTACCCCCTAATTTACACACTAAGGAACACGGAGACAAAGAATGCCACAAAGCTATGGTGTCCCATAGCAGGAAATAAGAGACAGACTAAAAGATTTTCCTGCCTTTCACCATCCAGCTCCTTGAGGACACCACTTCTACTGCAAAATCTTTAAAATTCATAAGTCCTTCTCATGTGACCCCTACCTAGTAAGTGTATGTGTAGGACACTGACTGAATATGATATATGTTTCTGTTCAATTTTTTCAGCTTCTTTACTATTATCTTCTGTTTCCTACTTTCCTGCTCCTATCTCCTGGGCCCCACTGACCTATTGGTAAGGCAGCTCAGTTTTCTGTTCATCAGCAACTCCACACAGAGTGTGCAGTGTTTGTGAATAGTGAGGACCTCTGCGGCTCACTATTGTATGTGACCATGTTATGTTCACCAGCCTTAGGCTCCAAGAATAACTGCAAAACCACTCCAATCTGTACTTACATCAGAACATCTTATTAAAGCTGTGCTTGGGGAGCCACAGTCATGCTCCTTTCCATTGTCACCTTAAGCTCAGAGAGTAATCAATGGCATTCTTGAGTTTCTTGTGTCTCCAAGCCCAACTCTGTTTTGCAAGCTCATAATAATCCCCTCATCTTTCTGTAGCACCTTGATTCCAGCTCTGTTCATGCATTAATCAATTGCAACTATCTGGCTAATGGTAGCATAGCACCCTATAATGTGTTGGTTGAGAATCTGAGCTCTGGATGCAGAATTGCTTACTGATTCCTCAGTTGGGCAGGACTGTTCTCCCTGTATTTCTTGTACCATGAAGGTACAGTAACAGCACAGTTATTGACAGTTACACATCAAGGCCTAATACGCTGCCCAAGACACAAGAGAATTCATACAAGCATTCTGTGGCCACATGTCTTGTTAGGATCAGAAAAAAGACAATTCAGATGATGACTTTCATGGCAGGGAAAAAAATAGGAAGAAGCATTCGCATTAAGGTCAAGATCCTGCTAGAGGAATGTTAATTTTATTTTCCTGGGGGTAAGCAAGACAGTATCAGTTACATTACATTGAGATTTGTTTTTGTTTCTAGAATTATAAAACTGAACAGAAAAATTTGCTGGCAAATTAATCTAATAGAAGAAACTCCTGAAATCAAAATCATCCCACTGGATAGTTGGTTTGGATTGTGAAAGACCTCAAAGCTTTCAGGAAACTCCATTAACATGAAATGTACTATAAAATAACTTATTTTCAGGCTAGCAATGAAAGGCTCTTAAATAAATAGTTGTTCCAAGTTATGGTAGATGGAACTTGCAAAAAGATGTAGCATGGGGCTGTAATTCTGTTTAAACTACTCAACAATTAAAACTAAATATGTTGCAATGTAAAAATTGTTTTAAAATGTCTTCAAATGAATTTCTTGGTTTTCTTGACCTAATTTTTGAAAATTATCCGGGTACTTCTGATTGGGGCTTGTACAAATGTTCCGTCTCCTTCTGTCACTCAGGAAACAGGGTGTGAGGGAAGAAGGCAGCAGAGCCTCCAATTGATTGGGCCTCAGTGTAAGAAGGTACATCTTTGATATTGCTGAAGATAAAATTTCATAATGAATAAAACATTGTATTTTACTCATAAAAACTGTCTTAAATCTGGATTAAAATGGATAGAGCAAAATCATTAGAAAAAACAATCCATAGCAAGAAGTTTTCTACTTTACATCACTTTACTCCTTTTCACCTTCCAGAGACATTTTCTCCTCAGTTTCCCTCTCTGAGTTGGATCACTAAGTCAGACTAAAAACTAGGGAAAAATGGTGCAAGGTTGAGCCTTCCATTGAGGCTACTCACATTTTCCTTATCTAATCGAGGATGATTTATAATTGTTTAGACAGGAGTGCTAAGCTATAGGAATAACTGTAAAAAACTGTTTACATCCGTCTAAACACAACTGTTTACTGCCCGTCTGACCATTTAACAATCTTACCACCATTTTAATATCTATAAATTCATTTTAGCATTTCTATCAACCTAAAATACATAGTGCTCCAAATGCTTATGTCCTTTTTCTACCAAAGGTGATGTCTTATTGGTTTACTGCTAAATGTTTATTTTATTTTTTTTCTCTTAACTTTCCTTTTATTTTTTTTTTGTATTTTTATTTAAGGAGAAAAAAAGCAGAGAAATGGTACAAGTTATACAGATTTACAGAAAAAAAATAAACAGTAGGAAATCACTAGTTAATGGATTACATATTGTCATCTTAGAAATAATTGTTCAAGTCACAAAGTTAAAGCTTGTGAAGTGGACATTCCAACAGTGAGACTGCAAACAGTTCTGTTCAATGATCCAATAAAACTCAGTGATATCATTTTCTATCTTATACACTTAAACATACATGCAGTTATATCATTTAGAGCACTTTCTTTTCCTCTCTTTTGTACAATGACAATTACACATTTTGGGTTTTGTTACTCCCACAGTTCTTATTACTTTTTTGGAAGGGAGTAGAACCAAATGTGACCTAACAGAACAGAGTCAATCAAATCAAAAGGGTAGACATAATAGATAATGTAAAAGCATATTACAAGGTGATCAATAATGACAGAAAAAGAGCTCAACAGAAATGAGGCAGAGAAGATTGGATGATAGGAACAGCTATTTTGGAGAAAACGATGTCTTAATAGGTAACACTGATTTAGTATCATCTTGTTTTGAAGTCTCATCAAACTTTTGTTCTTCTGTCTCCATTGGTCTAAACAGGTTGTATCTTGTTGGATTTTATTATGTACGATAGTATAAGCAAAAACTTTTAAAGACAAGGAGATTATACGGAAACTATTGTTCATTTTCTGTTAGCTTATTCTAAATACCCTGTAATGCTATTATTCTCTTAAATGGTTTTACATTGTTTTGATATATTTAATGCTACAATATACAAAGTTGTATTCAAGGATTTCAAGGAAAGAGACAATATGGTAACTACTTTTATGTCAGGATTATCTTGTGGTGAAACACTATTCTGCTTAAATGGTTACATTTTGATCTGCGCTGTTTTGCTGTTATGCCCTCTTTTATCTCAATCTCCACTCCATTATTTACTTTTTTATTTTTATCCTTTTAATTAAGGGAAAAATAAATAAAAATAGCAGGGTATATTATAGCAACCCACTGTGACTTTCCCTTATCTTGATTTAAAGCCCTGTATTACTCTCACCATCTTGTTTCTGATTGATGTCCCCCTATTCTGCTTTGCTTGATAGTACTAGATTCGAAAGTTTAGGCAACAGCTGTGAAGATAGTGAGATTCATTATGATGCCCATTCTCGACTTTTATCTACTTTTGAAGACCTCCAATGTTTTGGTTTTGTTGGTTTTGTTCTTTACTGTTTTGTTCAATTTTATTATAACTGATGATATAGGCAATTCTATTAGAGATAGCGGGAGGCATTATGGTAACCATTAATGTTTATGGAGAACCTTTCACATGTGTTCTGATTTGTATGTTTAGTTTCTTAGAGAAATTAATTATGAAATCCTTGTTCTGCATCCATAGCTACAGAAATCTCTGGTTTTCCATATATCAGCTCTTCTCTGCCTCCTTAATGATAAGACATGTTAGGCTTGAGTACCAGGAGAATGGGAGTATTATAGGATGAATGGGTAGGTTTAAGAAAACCATTGTCTAAAAGGTGCTTGATTATAGGTAGGCATGTCATGGGTAGTGAAGGTGGGATTGGAGGTATCCCAAACTATGGATTGACCAAAGAAGAAGGGAGGGGAGAGGATTCCTTTGCAGTGCACTGGGAGTGTGGGTGGAGGATAAGAGCTGTGGGGAGGAGAAGGTAAAGGAGAAGTTAAGCTTTCGAAGAAGATCTCTTCCTAAAAGGAGTGAGGGGCATGTTGCAATTGCTAGTAAATTAAGAGTAATGAAGAGAATCTGGAACCTGCATGGAATAGACCCTGTCTGCAAAGATTGCATAGGGTGGTCATCAAAACTCACCATAGAGACTGAGGATTTAATATAATGCCTAAAAGCTCAGGAAATACACTACACATGGCCTCTATGTCCATAAGTACAAAGAATGTCTTACCTGAGACCTCCAGTGGGAATTGGGGCTGTGAGAAAGACATCTTAATGGGGGCTCTGGGCCCCAAGCCCTGTCAGTCTTCAGTAGCATGTCCAAATAGATCAGTCAGCAATGAATCCAGTGTTGATGAGATCCCCTGTGAGGGCAAAGAGTTAGAGGCTAGCTTATCCATTCTCTGGTGGCCAGTTACTCTTCCTATGACCCCTGAGATTGGAATAGAGCCAAGGCCCAAAAGCAACGTGAGTTGGGGCACTCTCTTGCCCAATATCTTTTTTTGTTGTTGTTGTTCCACTTGAAGCATGGCCTGAGAGGGGCTCAGACAGCTCCACCTTGTCTCAGTTTACCTAGCTCAGAGCTTCAAGTGTTATTGCTAAAAGATCAGATAATTACTTTTCCTTTTGATTTATATCTCCATTCTTAAAAAAAAACATAATAAGAAAGTCTCCTTGTGGGGTTTGAGACCAAGTTTAGCCTTCTGTCTTGAGATCTGGCCCGCAGTGTCTGTCTTCTTCACAGTCACAAGACATCTGAGTTAATATTCTGGCTATAATGAGATCCTAACCCTGAGTGACTGCCTATAATATTTTAAACTCACTTGGCTGCCTGTAGTACTTTTTTTTTTTCTGAAGAAGTAATCCAAGAGACCAATCTGACCTCTTCAGGCTGCAGGGTATTGAAGATATGGAATGTCAGTAAGGGATACTCTGCAGAGCTTTTGACTAGTGGCCA